CATAAAGCCTTTAGAATTGTGCCAGGCAAGAGTTAAGCCTCAGAAGAGCTGGCTGGTGTTATTCCTTTCTGGCCACCGGATAGGGCCAGCCAACTCAGGCCCACTATTTTAGCAGCTCATTTGCATAAGCGAGCTCAGACACAAGCCAGTTTGTCTGCACAGCCTCCCTGCACAGCTTCTTCCTGTCACTGATCTCTCTCCTCACACCTGCTCTGTGGCCCTGAGCTCGTGCCTCAACTGCCCCATCTGTAAAATGAGGTGATCCACCTGAGGTCCTTCAAGCTTGACAATCTAGAATTCTAAACCCAGACTCTAGAAACTTTATACCCACGCTAATACGAACATAAACAATAGTCATTTTCCTAAAATCCTTTTATATGTTATGTATAAATGTCTATTTTGATGACAAAGATTCTCCAAAGTCTCAAAGCTCCACCAATAAGCACATGCTGGACAGGCATCCCCTGTGCTGACGCTGGGACATGAAGGCCAGGAGCTCTGACCAAGGCACAAAGCCTCAAAACAAGCTGCTCTGATAAGCAGGGTCCTCAACGCCACAGAGGCCTTTGACAGAGCACAAGCAAGAGGAAGTGGAGGCACAAAGGACAAAAATTCACCCTCTGGACAGCGGGGCGTGGGGCCGTGGGATGGAGGGGTGGAGAAGTGGAGGGGAGGACAGACAGAGAGAGGGTGCCTGACGGAGGAACCGCAGGGGGCCAGCAGAAGCCAGGAGAGAGCGAGGCACCCACCAGTGATGGGTGTGAGCGGGGGCTGGACAGACTGTGAAAACTCAAGTTTCACAAATGCAGCTGAGCAAGGCACTTGCCACAACCTGCGGAACCGTGGAGGACAGGTGAGCAGAGCCTGGTTCTGTGACCTGCTTCAGTTTGAATCCCACCGCCGCCTCTCCAGCTGGGTGCCTCTGAACCCTCCTTAATGTTTCCCAAAGGGTGTATTCACCCAACAACCTGAGCCCCGACTACATGCCAGGCTCTCATCAGCGCTGGGGATCAGGTGGAGATCACAGTCTCAAGGGATCAAACATACACCACGGCTGAAAGCAGTAAGACAGCCCTGAGTGGGGGGATCAGGGGCAACCCCGGGGAGCAGGGGGTAAGAAGCTCGGAAGAAGTCATACCCAAACTGGAGACATGGGTTAGTCCTGGCCAGACAAACAAGGCAAGAGGAAGTGTTCCAAGAATGTTGTAGGGACTAGCCCCGTACCTGCAAGCGCCCAGCAGCCACCCATGTCCTACTGAGGCAGTCAAGACAGCAATGAGGTGCTAACACCCTGCAGACACCGGCCCCAAAACACCACCCACCTCGGCCAGGCCCCGGAAATAAGTCCAAGCCCAGAGGCCTCCTGCACATAGAACTTTCCCAAGCAAAACTTCCAATTCCACATTGGCGAAAACGGCACCCTGTGCAAGCTAAAGACAGAAATGGTTTCATGTGCCCAGGCAAGGATCCGGCCAGTAAAATGCCCACTGCCTGGGCCTCGGGGATGGAGGGTGCAGGGACGGTCCTCGGGGTTCCTTCCTCATCACCGCTGGCCCCCACAGCTTCCAGCCACCCGACTCCTTCCTCATGGCAGCTCCCGGGACCAGCTGGGGAGCGTCCCCCACTCCCCATATAACACTCCGCTGGGGCCTCTCAGCCATCCCAGTGGGAAATATCCCTAGGCCCGGATCTCCGAGGCGGAGGGGGTCCACGGCCCCGGAACGGGGGTCCCCATCCAGGAAGAGGGCGTGCAAGAAGGAGGGGTCTGGGATCCAGGGTCGGATTCCGAGAGGGAAGGGGGTCAGGGGCTCCAAGGTGGGCAGGGGAAGGGGGTCCTGGAGGTCGGGACTCAAAGGTGGAGGGAGTCCAGAGGAATTGGCGGGCTCCAATGTGGGTGAGGCTCCGAGGTATAAAGGGTCTCGAGAATTGGGGGCCCCGAGGTGGCGGGATCTCGGGGGTCGGAGGCATGGAGGTGGAAGGGTGCCCGCGGCCGGGCGGGGCGGTTCCGCGCGCGGAGCCGGCTCACCTCTGGGCCGCGCGTCCGAGGGGGAAAACTTTTCTTCAAGTTCCGTAAAAGAAGCGGGTCAGAGCG